AAGGGGACAAAGGGGACGGTCGTAAGAGCAGAGGAAGGAGACTACAAGTACAGCCAGGAACTCAGGGAAGATTTCAGCTGTGCCTTGAACGAGTCTGGGAAGATCTGTACATGCAGAAGTGGGTAGGGGGTTGCACTCCAGGCAAAAATTGATGATGGGAAGAGCTGGCTCTAAGGGAGCTCCCGGCCAAGGAAGGCTACCTGCAGCCCAAGCGGGAGGGAGAGGGATGCCTGCCAGCTCATTTCAGAGAGGAAAGAGGACAAGGTGTCTGGCTTCAGGAGTAACCGGCACAGGGCTGGATACAGCTGCGACTTCCACAGACATGGGCACTTAAGATAGGCCTGGAACCAAGCTTCCCAGGAAGTCAAGACTTAACAAAACCCTGACAGCATGCGTAGATTTAGGACCCCTACCCAGGGGCCCTGAGACATCTAGAACCCAGCAGAGAGCCAGAGAACGGGAGACATGATGGAGTTAGGTGGTTAACAGAGAGCCACAAGCCAGGGGTGAGAGCCAGCAACGATGGATTTGAATCCCAGCTTAACTGTGCGGCCTTGGGTGAGTTTCCAAACTCTGCTGCCTGTCTGCAAAAAGGAAGTGGTAGCAGGCACCTCACAGGGTTCCAAAGATTTAATGAGGTAACATCTGCAAGACATCCAGCACAGCGCCTGCAACAGAGAAGGCATCCAAGAAATGGTGGATATTATTAATATGAATAGTTTGCACTCTAAGAACTTCAGAGTCCAATGCCTCCTACTGTTCTCGGTGTATTGAGAAACCAGGCTGAAGTCACTGACCTTGGACAAGACCAAGGGATTAGTCATGTCCTGAGTAACTTCTCTCTCTCTCTCTCTCTGTTCTTTGATATTTTTAATTTTTAAAAATATTTGGCCCTTTAAGGCATTCTATGTTATTCTGAGATGCCTGCCTCACCTGTGGCCTCGCATCACCAACCTTCCCCTAAAGAAGAACCCACTCCACATGGGCAAGCCACCAAGGGAACATCAGTGTCATAAGCCACTTCACAGGGAACATCTGTGCCAGAAGGGGCCTGTGGTCCCTTTAGCAAGGAGTGGGTCAAGGCCAGCCCAAAGCAGCTTTGAGCTGATAGAGTTGTGACATTCATAGCATCTATCTTAAGAAGCACACTTTTACTTATGGTCATAATATTAAGCACTACAATAATATGTATAACAAATACAAAGTATTCTCTGCATGTAAAATAAGCTTTCAAGAAAATACAAAAAGCCAAATCTTTATAGCCAGGCCTGGCAAAATAAGATGCTGTATGTATACCAAAAGGCATACGAACGCGGTAATGAGAGAACTCACAGCCTTAAGCTCCAGAGATAAATTACAGTCGCTCATTTCAGAAAGAGAAAGAGGGCCTCATTTTCTCAACTGCACTGTCCGAGGAAGCTTTCTGTACTTCCATATAATCTGCCAAAGGTCAATGACCCCCAGTGGAGGGATGGGGGGTTGGGGGGAATCAGTCAGGTCACACACAAAGAAAAATTTTCTTTAGTTTAGGGAAATACAAAAATTTGATTAATCCACTTGGTAACATTAAAAGCAGGCAATAAATTTTATTCTATAGCTAAGAAACACTGAGAAATGACTCCACTTTGGTCGCCTGAGATGGTTAGTTCGGCCAGTTCTATAGAGGAAGGTGGGCTGGCAAGAAAAAGGAGAAGACGGTGATGCTGGTGCAAAAAGGAAAGTGAGGTGACGGAAAGAGGAGGGAAGCAAAGACTAGACACGGGCAAATCCGAGGGAGGACTCTGAGTGCTGGAGGCAGTGACCCTGGTGAGGGTGTGGCCACACTGTTATCTGTCACCTGTTGCTCCTCCAGCTGCACAAACCCTTACATCTTTATAGGGAAATCTACTCTGCTCACCAGCGTAGAAACAGATCAGTCCCTGGGCACGAATAACCAGAGAGTTCCTCAGAACCAAATCCAAGTTCCACAGCCTCCACTCTGGGTAAAACTGGTTTCTATTTCTTCTTTTTTATGGGTTGGGTGGGTTCAGCACTTCCTCAGTCTGGTTCACACAAGTCTCCAATTCGATACATGGTTGTGGGAGGCCTTTGGGGGGAGGGGAGGTCTGTGCACAGCAGTGAATGAAACAGGGGCGACTGCCACCTCACCGACCGGGGGGCGGCGGGGGGGGGGGGCGGCGGGGGGCGGGGGGGGCAGCGTCCATCCTTGGCAGTGCTCTCGGTGTTTGCGAAAAGGGTGGGAGGGCGAGCATACAGGCTCTCCTCTGACACTCCCGTCCCACACGCAGCTCTTTCACGGGCGACACAAGTCCTCACTAAGGAAAGGGAGAACAGAGGAGTCCAAACATGGACCCGAAAACACTGAAACGTTGCAGCGGAGGCTCACCCTGATTAAAAACAAAACAAAGCTTTAAGCGTTCAAACTGATCGCAGCATTTGTCATCTGTAACCACACAGGCTCTAACTGCCGAAATGAATCCGTAGTCAGGGTACTTTTAGTTATACTTAAGTAAGTTCATAAAGATGACCCAGCCTAATGTACTGCAAGATCCTAAAGTACCTTTGGAATCATTAAGAAGCATATTACGTTTATTGAGCTTTTGTGGTAACTGTAGTTCTTGTACTTTGAATACTGTGGTCTCCTGTGCCCTAACCTGTGGTCTGCTTGAGATGCGCCTCAGTAAACGGGCTCCATGATCAAACAGGTTTGGCGCACGTTGCATGCTCTCAACCATTTGGGGATTCACAGTGTATTTTAGAAAATTCAGTTTTGTGACAAATCCTCCTTGAGAGAAGTCTGCAGAACTTAGCCTGAGCCAGTGTGTCCCAAACTTACTTGACCATGAACGCTTTTCTTACTTTAACACTTTTTAAGAGTGCACAAATTATTTCAGGGAACGCATGTTGGATACACTACCGTGTAGGGAATATGCTGCTTAATTAACCTGAAAATGCAATTAATGTCAATCTCCCATGCAGTCCCACAAACCGGTGATTACTGCTGTGTGTTACAGGAATATAAACACTTCCCCCACGGAATTTCTTGTTGAACATCACTCAACAATATACTGACTTGCTGTATTTTGGAGAAGAGAAATTCTAATGAACTGAGTTGGATCTTGATGAATTCATATCAGGAACTCAAAAGAACTGTAAAATGTGATTTTGCTAAATTGCTGGAAGTTTATCTTCCTCTCTAAACATGTACATTTAAATTCCCAGAGTATATTTAATATATTTGCGTAAAGAAACAATATTAAACAAACAAAAAAGGCTAATATTTACCTCTGACCTATTACCTGACATGTGTGATTACAAATACCTGTAACTGAGATGTGGCATCAACACGTACAGTCCGTGAATCACAAGAGTGAGACTAGTACTTCTGTGCGGTGGTGCTGTTAAAATTTCACTCTTCCTCTGGATATAATAATATTACATAGTCTTAAGCCAATACCGGAGGCTTCATGGAATCAAATTCCAGTGACTGAAAAAGCGTCATCATTCAGTTAACAATAAAAAACCATTCAGGAAACATGTGTTGAGCCCCTGCTATGTGCATGTCACGGGACTGAGCGCTGGGATGACCAGCGGATTTTTGGGGGACCCAAATCAGCACAAGGGTCGGACAGCAGGGCCGCATATTTGAGACTCAGGAGACATCTAGGCCCTGCGGGTGACCGAAGAGTAAGTCGCTGCTTACAAGACACCTCGGTCACCCCCGAAAGGCCCACGAGACACAAAGGCCTCACTCCGTGCCCTAAACGCTTAATATCAGCTAATGCGGGGGGGCGGGGGGGGGCGGGGAGGACTTGGCCCAAAACACTTGAAGGCTGTAAAAAGCTGTCATATTCAAACTTCACTTGTGTAATTTTTTTTCTTTCCTTTTTCCAGCCAGTGAAGGAGGCTTACGTACAGGCACCCCGCTGGCAGGCAGAGCAGCTTCGGGCGGCAGCCTAAACCCCGCCCCGCGGCGCGGGTCTGCGGAGAATCTATTGCCAGGACCCATCTTCCGATAACGAGAGAAACGTGCGTTTTCGCGGGGAGGGCGGGGCGGAAAGCGCCTCTTCTCTGCGGGGCAGTCCCGACGGCGACTTTCCACTTCCACGTGGAAGAAGCAGGAGGGCCACGCACAAAAGCTGAAGAGCCGAAGCGGAGCGCACTTGCGGGGAGGGAGGCAGGGGCTGCCGAGGGGGCCCCGGCCGAGACGACCAGCCGGTGAACTTGCAAAGGACTCCCCGGCGGCGGCGAGAGGGCCGGGCTGCCAGCGCCTGCGCCCCGCACGCGGGCTGCCTCCGCGCGTTCGCCCACCCGGCCGCGCTGGGCCCGCCCGAAGGCCTGGGAAGCGGCCGCGGGGTGCCCTCCTGGACATGCCTTTCTTTTTTTTGCTTCTTAAACGACCATGCCTTTCAGACAAACACGCGCGCGCGCACCCGCACCCCTGAAAGATGAAGCCCCAGAAACTGACAAAACGTATCCGAGACAACACGCGCTGCAGCCATGAAATTTAAAAGAAAGAAAGAAAGAAAGAAAAAAAAAAAAAGGGCGCGCACGTGTGCCCCTGGGGAGACGGCTTCGTAAAGGTGGGCGCCCTCAGAACCTGCGTTCCGGGTCGCACGTGCGCTGGGACACCTGTGCGCGAACCAGCGGGAGCCTCAACGGGCGCGGCGGTCCCGCGGCGGAGGGGGCGCCGCCCCGCGCGCCGCTCCGCCGCGGGAACCGAAAGAACAAAGTCCGCACAGGCTGAGCGTCCCGCGGGCTCCCGTCTCGCTCGGCGGGAGGGCGGCGGCCCTAGCGCCTCAGGTTCGCGGCGGGCCCTGAAGCTCCGGGCGTGGGGTTCCGCACGGCGGCGCCGCCGCGACGCCGCGAGTCCGGACCCGGCACCCGGCTCGCTGCTCCCTGCGCGCCGCCCGGCCGACGGGCTGCGGGCGCCCGTCAAAGTCCCCCAAAGCCGCGGCCCGGCCCTGAGGGCAAGATGCCGCCCGCCCGGCGCCCCTTACCGTCCTGCTGCTGCCGCCGCGGGGCTCGGAAGCCGCGAGGCTGGCGCCGCGGGTCGCGGGCGAGGCGGTCGGCTCCAGGCTGCGAGGGAGGCGCGGCCCGCCGGGCGGCAGCCGCCCCGCGGGGCCCGGCGCGTCCTCGGCCTCCTTGCCGCCGTGGTACGCAGTCCGGCTGTCGGAAATGTGGATGCTCGGGGCGCAGCCCATGCTGGTGGCGGCGCCGCGGACACGCTGGCGGGCGGCCGCTATCGGGTCAGCAAACGGCCCGCCCGGCGCCTCGGGGCCGCCGCGGGCGCCGTGTCATCGCCGCCTGGGCGGGCGGCGAGCGCGGGTCTCCCGTCAGGAAGCGCGGCCGCCCCTTTTATCGCGGTGCGGGCGCGGCGGCGGCGGCGGCGGCGGCGGCGGCGCGGAGGGGGCGCTGGGGCGGGCGGCGCGCCGCGGCCGCCCCTCCGAACATGCCCTTCCTGAGGCGGTGAGCGCCGGCCGCCCTCACATCGCCGGCGCACCCGGGCCGCGCTTCCGGGGAATTTCGGGGGAGGAGATTCGCGCTCTCCCAGCCCGAGAGTCCCCGCCGCCCCTGGCCCGAGCGCCGGCGGCGGCCCCGCTGGCCTGGACGCCCCCGGCGTGGACGGCCGGGGCTGAGGGGAAGCCCGTCAGGGCGGCGAGCCGCGGCCGCCCGGCTGAGGGGTGGGGGCGCCGATCCGGCCGGCCCGGGCCGCGCCGTCGGGAACGGCAGAAGCGGCTGCGCTGCCCGGAGCTGCGGGCGGCGGAGACCGGGCTCCGCGCTCCGCCGGGTTTCGAAGGCAGCACGCCACGCCCAGCCCGGGCTGTAACCCCCGGCAGCTGGCGTCAATGCAAAGCAGTTGGGGCGCCGCCACGGCCGCCTCCCCGCGCCGCCGCCGCCACTGGGCATGCGCGGCCCCGGAGGCGGGGTGCCCGGGCGCGCTGCCCGGAGCAGGGAAGGGACTGGCCCAAGGACGAACCGCCGCGCGGGCGACGGCTGTGACCTCGGGCCACCAAAACCCCGACTGCGACTGGGAAGTAGTCGGTCTCTCTGACTCCATCTTGTTCGCCTGAGGTTCACAGACACAGCGCCCCCCAGCTCCCCCTTCCCCCGACCTAAAAGAAGCCTGAACTCTGTCCTTTCTCAAGGCGGATTTGAGGATCTCGCCGGGCTCGCACATTCTTGGCACCTTCTCCAACAATAAACCTTTCCTTTACTCAACACTCTGATGGTTTGAGTCTGGCACACAGACTTTGGACCAGGAGCAAGAGCAGCGGGGTTCAAGTCCCAGCTCTCTGCCTTCGCAGCTGCGGGACTCCAGTCCAGCCCCTGAGGCCTGGGGGAGGCCGGTGGCAGGACCGCCGTCGGCGTGGCGGTGGGAGGGCTCGGAGGGCACCCTCCTTCCGAGTCCCTCCCCGGTGGGGGCCTGGGTGCTGCCGCCGAGGCCACAGCCCTGTGCACTGCCCCGGGTGCCAAGGCGTGGGCCAGTCCGCCTGCGACAGGGAGGCTGCCATGCTTGGAAGCCATGTGTGTGACAGGCTGGGGGCCCCGCCTGCCTCTCGTTTTAACGGCAGGATGGGTCACCTCGGGGCGCCGGACACTTCAAAGGCCCCCTGCTCCCAGAAGCAGAGTCAGGCTCGGTGCAGGGAGAGACGTGTGAAGACACCAGACTGCACCCCATTCGCCCCTTCACCAGCTTGCTGTTTAGCCTTTGGCAAGTCACCTAAGCTCTGTGCTCCAAGGGCCTCAACCCTGAGTGCTCAGAACCTCACACCCCAGGGCAGCCGGCCTCGGACCCACCCCTGCTCCCGCCCTCCCTGTCCGTGGGCCCCCGGAGACCCCCCGAGGGCTGGTCCCTTCCTCTCCCCTCCTGCAGGCCACGCCTTTCCTAAGGAGGCCCTGAGAGGCTCAGGGGTGCCAGCTCTGGCCTCGGGCCGGCGGCTGTGAAGACCCGGAGGCGCGCTCCGGGCTGGATTCCCTGCTGCAGCACAGACTGCGGCACAGCTCAAGCGCCTGGTCTCTGGTGGCGGCTTAGGCTCCAGGGACCCTACGACCCACAACCGCAGGGCCCTTTGAGCCCCAATCTTCCAGCCTGAGGTGTGCACCAGGCGGTCCCCCAACAGCGGCGGAGTGGAAAAGCCAGGAACCAAGAGCAGCTTGTGCCATTCACCTTCATCGCTTGCTGAGGGGACCAGAACCAGCAGCACACAGCTCCATTGTCAAGTTTAAGCACCTTAAGCAGCAGTAATATTCATGCCTCCCTACCTTATAAAAGTGGCAGCAGGTCAATGAAGGTGTGTTGAAAAACGCAGGAAAAGAGTATTACTATCACAGGTTACTCCATCTAAATTGTAGCGTGTTTTCTATCTTCCTCTGCAGATTTTAGAAGGTAACTTTTCCAGGCAGAATCTGGACCCTTTTAAATAAAGAGTAACTCATGAAGAAAATGCTTTGAACCACTAGAACGCCTGGAATTCTACCCTGGGCCCTGTGTCCACCCCTCCCCGCCTTGCTGGGAAGTCTGGCCTTGATGACTCCCCCTGACCTTGCCTCCCCGGAGGCTCCAGGCTGCTGCAACCCTCAGGGCCCTCCCCTCGCAGGTGTCCTGGCCTCCCCTTGGAAATCCTTGAGCCCTGTGCTAATCGGAGGGGTGAGAATGCTTTCCCCCGCCCCGGCCCCCACCTCACTGCCCCCTGGGCTGCACTGCGCCACCCCAGGCTGGTCACTTACCCTCTGTTCCTGCGGGATAGCAGCATTGACTGACTTCCACCTTTGCAGCTTAGGGGCCCCTAGGCTTAGAGACCTAGGGCTAAGAACAATATGGGGAGCAGATAGGAAAGGTGGAGGTCATCTGCCTGCTGCTGAGGTCGCAGAGAGCAACACCTCAACACACACTTTTTTCTTACCCAGGAGCTCAGCCTGGGACACTGCAGGAAGTCACAAGCCCCCAATCTCAGCCCCAACTGCATGACATCAACCCCACCCCACCCCTCCTTCCCTGGCCGTAACCTGCACCTTGGGGTCCTGGAATACTTCTCTACCCTGTGAATCCAGTACCCAGGCCTCAGCAACAGGGGATACAAAAGAGTGCCCACGACAAAAGTAAACTATGGGCCACCCACAGGCTCACCTGGGCCTCCCAGGCTCCCACGCAGAATCCCACCACTTGGAGGTATCCCAGGAGCCCGTGAACCATCTCAGTCCTGCTGGAGGGGAGGAACGCCCACTACGCCAGCCATGTGGGCACCTCGGAGCTCTGTGGCACACAGCACACACCCCACACCCCAACCCATTGCCCCTGGGTGTGGGGACCCCCAAGCAGAGCAGCTGGACCCCCCACGAGGCTCAGAGTGGTAGTTGAATGTTGGCTGCACTGCTTGCTCCGAGGACTCAGGCATGAGGCCTGTGGGCCTGGGGAAGGAGTCAAACCAAGGAGCAGGTGCCTCCTGGGCCCAGCCCCACCCCACTACCACCATCCACTCCCAGGAGCCCCCTCAGCCCTCACAGGCCCCTCAGACAGCTCTGAGATGGGACCTGTGACAGCAATGACACCTGCCAGTCTGACCGTTACGTTCACACGTGTGAGCTCACTTACTCCCCATAATGGTCCCACGAAGTGGTTACTGCCGTTCCCCCCGCCCCCCGTCCGCCCCGTTCACAGACGAAGGCACCGAGGTGCTCTGGAAACAGGGCCGAGGCAGGGCTTTAACAAAACCCAAACCCACCCCTTACAAAGCCTCTTTTAAAAACAGAAGGGTGCTTTAACACAATGAAGCATATTTATTGACAGCTAAGAGCTTTCTAGATATTTAAGAGTGAAGGGCTAGAACGCTCCCCAGGGCTGGGACGCAGCAGGTCTACCTCTAAAGAGTTTCCCAACACCAAGAAGCACTAGACAGGAGCATAACAAATGGAATCAGAGATAAGATGTAGGGCCGCCCCCTTCGCTGCTATTACTCAGCTTTGTGTGGTTGTTCTGAGAAGGGCAATGAGACATGACTTACAAATCAGAGTACAGATAACAGAACTGGAGACACAATGCATCATTAACTGTGGTAGCACAGTGTCATGTCTAAGATACTTAAAATCAATTCCAAAGTTATTAAGATGAACGACTTCTCTAAAGTGGTCAGATTCAGAGTAAAAAAGTAGTACTGTGGACTGTCCACGGCCAGTTAGAAAATCCAGTGACAAAAGCCACCCTAAGTGCCCGGCACTGGGTTGGCCCGTGTATGGAGGCCACGTTTCCCCGGGCCTTGTCTGAGATCTCTGTGGCAGCCATAACTCACGTTTTGCCAACTCCTCTCCCTCCCCACCTTTACTAACAGAGGCCTCCGGCCTCTGCAGAGCTTCACCCAGGTACTTCTGGGAGTGTCTGAAGGGGTAGGAGGTGAGGGAGGGAGATCACCCCGACATCACCCTGTCGCTGGGCTCCCAGGTGCTGCGAAAGCAGAGGCCCTGCATCCCCCTCTGGGCTCCGGGCACACATGGGACAAGGCACGCCTACAGGTGGCCACCAGGTCTCCATTTGCCCAAGACTCTCCCAGTTTTAATATTGTAAGTCCTCCGTCCGAGGCAAACCGGGCTCGTTGGCCACCCTACACATGCTCCCTGACCGCCCGCACGCGCCCGGACTCATGCACACGCGCAATGTCTCGCACTGCCTCCAGGCCCTACGGCCATGTTGTTTGTGCCCTGTCTTGCAGGGTTCCTATCTGGACAGCGAGCTCTTCCAGCTTCTGTACGTAGACTTTCTCTTGGAGACCCAGCCTCATGCCCACCTCTAGGCAGAACTGAGAGAGAGCAGAGCCCTGGGGCGCCCCGTTCTCCCTCCTCACACAACACACGGGCCTCGTCCCATGCCTTCCACCCGCCTGCCGAAGTTCAGGCGAAACCTGGAGCTCCGTCTCCTCAGAAACTTGCCCGTCTAAATCCTCCTAATGCCCCGTGAGGTGAGCATTATTATCCCCACTTTACTGGGGAGGAAGAAGAGGCATAGAGAGCTTAAATAACGTGTCCTAGGTCACAGAGAAAGCGGAACCAGGGTGCACACTGTGCCCTCGCTGACGCCAAAGCCCAACTCGTCTCTACCCTGCAACAGCTTCCATGCAAATGAGCTCGGACAATAGTGAATCACAGACGGAAACCGCGGAGCCAAACGCCACTGGTGCTTGAGAAGCAGGAGGTGAAATATAATAGACCCCAGAGCAGCTGAGGACATTCCCAGGA